GGGAAAGAGACTGGAACTGATCCAGATTGTGACAGTCTAAATTAGGGGTAAAAGCTAAGGGACTTGGGGGAGGGAGGATGGGGAAGGGAAGTTTAATGGGTCTGGGGTCTCCTTTGGGGGTGATGAAAATGTTCTGGAATTGTGATAGAGGTGTCGGTTGAATGACATTGCGATTGTACTAAATACCACTGAATTGTATACTTTTTAAAATAAATTTATTTATTTTTGGCTGTGTTGGGTCTTCGTTGCTGTGCACGGGCTTCCTCTAGTAGCGGCGAGCGGGGGCTACTCTTCTTTGCGGTGCGTGGGCTTCTCAATGCGGTGGCTTCTCTTGTTGCGGAGCACAGGCTCTGGCCACGCAGGCTTCAGTAGTTGTGGCACGTGGGTTCAGTAGTGGTGGCTTGCGGGCTCTAGAGCACAGGCTCAGTAGTTGTGGCGCATGGGCTTAGTTGATCTGTGGCATGTGGGATCTTCTCAAACCAGGGATCGAACCCGTGTGCATTGGCAGTGGGCTTCTCAATGCGGTGGCTTCTCTTGTTGCGGAGCACAGGCTCTGGCCACGCAGGCTTCAGTAGTTGTGGCACGTGGGGTCAGTAGTGGTGGCTTGCGGGCTCTAGAGCACAGGCTCAGTAGTTGTGGCGCATGGGCTTAGTTGATCTGTGGCATGTGGGATCTTCTCAAACCAGGGATCGAACCCGTGTCCCCTGCATTGGCAGGCGGATTCTTAACCATTGCACCACCAGGGAAGTCCCTGAATTGTATACTTCAAAATGGTTCACTTTATGCTATGTGAATTTCATGTTGGCTGCCCGGGTGGGAATCTCGGCTACACCACTTACTGTCTTAAATGGTAAGACTTACTGGGTAAGTTCTTAGCCTCCCTGGCTTCAGTTTTCTCACGTATAAAATGTACTTAATAAGAATGGTACTGCATACAGTAGCTAAACAGGATTAAACACATGAGACGGGCTCAGCCAGCACACATGAGTGGTCAGAAATTATGAGTTTATGTTATTGGAGTTGCTGCTGAAAGCTATGAGGTCTAGAGATCTATAAATAAAACTAAGATTTGAGTCACTCACCTAAAATAATTTTCTTGTCGTGACCAATAGAGGTTATCTAGATTTTTGAGACACTAAGCATGTAACAATAAGAAAATGTAGCTTTCATCACAATATCCCTTTCGAGTTGTAAAACGACTCTATCCATGTCATTTGACCCAATAGGCACCAAATATTTTTGATTACAGGGAGAAGTCTTACCACACATACGCCCTCTCAGCATGGAGCCTGGTCTGCAGAAGAGGAAAGCCTTTTCGGTTTCTAAGGAATTGCTGTCAGCTACAAGCATTTCAGATGCAAGATGAAAGGAATACATGGGCTCCTTAGTAAGGGTCCTTTTCAGTCGATTTGTGATAGTTTCCAACGTCTTAATGAGTCGTTGCTGATTTTCCAATTCAAGGGTATCATTTCTTTCATCGGGTAAGGGCACACTAGCTGAGATAAAAACGAAGTAAGAGAAAACATAACACACACACATGGTGTTGCAGGAAGCCATTTGTACTGAGTTTTTACCAAAGAGAAAAAGCATATTAAAAATCTTCCAGGAAAAATAAACTGAAACTTAAACACCACTTACTGAGCAACTAGTACCTGGAGAATATTAAGAACAACACGAATTGTTTTAATCTTTCTCTCCTATGATGGATCTACATCACCCTTTTGTGGAGTTCTTCATGATCACATATTAAATTCCTGCAAACTCTCGCTTTTTAAAAACACACCGTAGTTCATCATGCCAAGATGAGCACAAAGCAGGGGGCTTGTTGCTATGGGAACTATAAAATACATCTGTGATATTAAGAAAAAAATGACAAAACTTGGTTGATTGTGCTTGCCCTGATTTTCAGTTCCAGGGTCATTTCCTAATAATGATAACAAATAGAAAACTTGAAAAACAGGTCTCCAACGAAGAATTTCTCACTATATTAACCTTTTCAAACAGAGAGTCTATCCTTACCTGTGATGTTAAAAATTAACTTAATTTTGTGGTCAGATAATGGGGCACTTCTTTTAATCCGTGAAGATCTGGCTTTGCCGGCGCCCGTGGGTGTTTCTCGCACAGTGTCCAGGAAGTCATCATAAGAGTAATCCAGCCTGTTAGCTGCACCCCAGCCGACAGGTCCTGGACAATTGGGGCAGAGAGACAAAAGATGTTACAGTTGCACCTTTATCAGCGTTTAGGTTCTAATGTTAGGCCACAAATCAAACTGTCCTTGATCATTGCTTAAATTGCCCATAATGTACCATATACAAGGTTTCATCTGTAATATCATATTGTAGCTTTAGGCACTTCATATTAAGTTTAGATTACCAATGAATTCCACTAAAAGTATAAAGCAAAGTCTCTGTAGAGCTATACAGGCATTTAAAACATTGTATCCTTGACCTGATAATAAATTACCTTAACTTTAGAGGAAATGGGAGGAGGTACAGATTTTAATCAATTCCTATTTCCCTTCAGGGTTTGCTCCATCCTTGCTTTTTTACATCAGCGTTATAAACTGAATGCATGTAAACAGATTTCCTTTTGTGAAGACTGTTCAAATACCTGCATATCTGCATTATATTTCAAAGGTGGGGGTAGTTTCTGAGGGCAGCATGTAAGTTAAATGATTACGTAGTTGGGAAACTATGCTGGAGGTAGCACGGCTGCACGTGATTCTTTAGATGCCCTCCATATCACTGTGATCAACCATAAGGATTCAGACTGTGGCTTCTCATATATGTTGTACGGCTGCACAATCTTAGTCAAGGTCCTTTCAACTCTCTGAGTCTCAGTTTCTTTGTGTCTAAACTGAGATCATTGTGCTTACCTCATAGGTTTGTCTGTGGAATAACTGAGCTAATTTATGCAAACTATCTAGCTCATATTTGACTCATTCTAAAACCTCAGTGATAGTAAATGATATTAATATTGGTCTAGGCATACTGTTGTTGCTTAGTTAGGTGCTTTAAACATCAAATTCTATCTATACAGACTTGTCCACTTAAGTAAGTTGGTTTTTGAGGTTTTTTAAAAAAATTTTTTTAGCTTAATTCATGTTTTGGGCCATTAAAAAGAACTGGGATCAATATTTTTGTTTTTCATTTAAACATTTGTCCCACAAGTGTCATGTAGCCATTATGTTGATAGAAAAAAAAAAAACAGCTTAGCAAAGAGAAAAATATAAAAGATTACTTATAGTTCCATCACATGGAAATAATGACCATAACATTTTAGGCAAGTATTTTTTCTATGAATATATAAACACACACATACACATTTATGCATAGATACATACATACATATATATATAGCTAGAATAAAAATAAACATACTGCACTTTTAACAAAACGAGATCATACTATATGTATATTATTTGGTAATCGTTTTTCAAATTTTTTCCAAAAATATAATATTTCTGTGTCAAATGGTTTCATAATATTCTCTTCTATAGCTATAGTACAAACTAAGCAGGTTTCTATCTTCAGACTTTTAGGTTATTTCAAAATTTTAGAACATCCTTGTACATACACTATTTCATAAAGTATAAGACACCATCAATGAGAAGACACATCCCAATTTCAGAGGTGCCCAAATGAAAAGTGCACATCTTAGAATTTATAAAATGTGGTACATGTTTGTACATTAGCATGACTTTTATCTTGAGAAATATCCTTGGAAGTGGAATTTCTGGGTCTGAGCATTTTTAATCCTTTAGATACATATCGTCAAACGCCCTTCAATGTCTCCTCTACACACAATATATGAATATGATTTTTTTTCCCCTGACACCCTTGCCAACTCTGGGTGTTATGATTCTTATTCAAATTTGTTAATCTGACAGGTCAAAAATGGCATCTCATTTTAGTTTTCATTTGAATTACATGATTATTATAAGATCAAACAATTTTAATATATTTATTGGCCCTTTATTTTCCATACATTATAACTTGCCAAGGTGTTATAACTATTACGCTGATCTTGTGACTCTGTTGTGAGGACACTCAAGGAGAAAGGGTTGTCTCTTAGGATCACTTGTACCACATGCCATCTGGATCCTTCTAGAATGACAAACATCACCCATCTCAAAGCCTCATGATGACAACTGATTCCCTCTGTGTGTATCCCTGCACCCCTGCAACCTACCTCAACAATCTGGGGGTTGAGGGAAACCTGGGTCATGTGTGACAGAAGAGGCATTATTATTCTAGGTGTGCCACTGCCAGCTCCCCTGCCAATGCCACCTTGTGTTTTTCTATCTAAAACTTTAATGTCCAATATGTTCACTGAGAAGTTGTACATAATAGTTAAAATTGGAAAACAACCTAAAGCCTACCAATAGGAAATTGTTTATATAAATGATGGCAAACTGACTCATAAAATAATATGTAGATATTAAAATTGTATTGAAGTATAATATTTATGACATAAAAATGTCCTGAATAAAATCTTACCTAAAAATTCACGTTTACAAAATAGTATGGGTCAGCATACATATGCATGTACAGTTACATATTCACTAATATATTAACAGAATCATTTCTGGGATTGCAGGTTATCTCAATATCATTCTTTGTTCTTTAGCATTTTTCAAATTTTTGCAAAAAACATATATGCACAAAAAAAATTTTTTTTTTTTTTTTTTTTT